ATTGTTGGACTAGCAATCATAGTAATTGTTATTATGGTGATGATAAAGATACGCAAAAAAAGGTGAGCATTCAGTAATTGGTGATATTCCAAGTTCTCATTAACACGATCGCGTTTTTGTGCGTTTTTAAAACTCTTTCACTTAACTAAAACCGTACGTAGGAAATCTGATGAGCAAAGAACAGACACTGTTGGTAAGTATAAACAGAGATTACAAAAATAAATCAAAGGCAACACATTATCTCATAATATATTGTCATTGATTATGTATCATTAATTTTACTTAATTAAAATCAATTACATTCCAAACATTAAAATGTTTGTAAAACATTATAGTAAAATGTAATTGCATTCTCATAACAGATAATGCAGGCTACGGGCGAGGTGAAGATAATTCCTTGAGGTTCAACCGTAAGTCGTCACCTGTCATAGAGGGCCACAAATTTATTAGTTTTACACTATTAAGTGCTACCCCCAAAAATAGAGTCTCTACTTACTTACTTACTTACCACTTCACTCATAATGGTTTATGCTTGACGATTCAGGTCAAAACAATTGAATTTCCAGTATTTTCAACAGGCCTCTGAGGGAAATGTGGGTATTTACCATTACCCACCAACTAATTCAGTAAAATCGTGTCTCGATTTTGAACAATTCTTTTGACCTCGCTCTTTAATGAAATGATCATTAGCATACATGTTTTGTTTGCTAGATGGAAGCCATGAGATGTGTACATATGAAAACGCAATACCAATTGGAAGTTCTAAAGATCGACTTCAAAGCTCTCTCGGTAATTAAAAAAAAGGGAGATATTCAAGAAAAAYAATGAAAGTGGATTCTAGTAGCTATTTTGGACCAGTCTTCTGATTTATGAAGCTGGCAAATAACTAGTTTCTCCTTAGTTGAATCGACCAAATATTCATGGCAGTTTTTCATTTAGGATCAAAGTTTGCAATGATCAGGGGCGGATCCAGGGAGGGGCAAACAGGGGTTGTAGCCCCCCTTCAGTCATATATTGTTTTATTTGATCAACGTAATGGATTTGAAGTAAAATGAGCCGTTACTTACAAGTCAAGCAAAATTCGGTGAAGACCCTCCCCACCCCCTTATATTTTGGCTGGATCCGCCCCTGATGTGCGTTTCTTCTGAATCGGTGTTACCAAAGTAATGATAAAACATATTCTTGGAATCTGTACTTCTAAAGGGCCTTTTTATTATTCATGTACTATTAAATCAAAATGATTTGCCTACTTAAAATAAGACGTGAATCAAAACTTCATGTTGAAAATAGGTTCTTACTCTTTAATATTGAATTGCATTCAGAAACGTTATTCGAACAGCTCTCTCTCCCTCTCTCTCTCTCTCTCGACTCCGTCTCTCTCTATCTCTCTCTCTCTATCTCTGTCTTCAGAATTTTCGATTGATTTTTCGATTGCTGTCTGATTCACAGATCCCATTCCAGATGCTGATTACGTCAATCACAGGAACCCTGGCTTTAATGTCTCTGACGAACTGGTTGACGAAAACTCCAAGGCTATCAAACAAAAACAAGGCATGACCGAAACTCTCGACTCGCCAATGTACTCTTCCCTTATAGGGAATATTCCTCATGTTTATGCTTCCCTCAAGGGGCTTCACAAGACACACGAAGACAAGACGGATAGTGAGGTCACGTGCACATCACAAAATAAGGAAAACAGTCTTTATCAGAGCCTCAATACTTTTGGTCAGCACAGTCATGGCGAATATCAGGCGCCAAAGTACAAAAAACAGAAACCTGACAATAAAAACTAAAATATGGCAATGTAATTAGTTCTCGCTAAATTCAATATTAATAATGTAAATTTGTAATCACTATCGAATCCTATAATTTGATTCGTTAAAATCATGGTGCAATCAGTTAAGCAATAATTGCAATTGAAACAATAGCCTTATATTGAAACATTTATTGCACCATTTTGCTCCGCTTCATTTATTTGAACCAATTACAAGAGAGATATGTCATTTTCTAATCAAGATTGTTTCTAGCTTTCTTTATCACTTCTCGTCATTTCATTTATTCAAAAATTAAAGCTTAACACCGAGTATAATGTTTGTGATATGAAAGGACTGCACATCAAATTGGTGGCTGGCTATTCTGTTCTTATCTAAGTATAGAGCCACGTTCACGTGA